GGTGAAATCTCTCCATCAAGTGTAGCACTTAGTGTTACGTTTTCGTTGTCTTCTCCACTGGCTTCATTGAGGGAAGTCAGGAGGTTGTTCGTGACACCTAATAGCCTTTAGCCTTGCTTCTCCTTTTCCTGCCATTGTTGGACTTTGAGAGATTAAATGAGAGGTGATTATTTCTTTCAAAAAGCTAGACGAAACTAAGGTCTCAGCTATAGAAATCCCCACAGACGACACTAAATTGTTTGACTCAAAAGATACCGAAACCTTTTTGAACAAATCAATCAAAGAAAATGAAGGGGTAAATCTTGGCTAAGTATAATAATCTCTAGAATGAAAGATAGATGAGGTGAATATAGATGATAAGAATTCCTTATCTTGTTTAGAACAGAAAGAATTTCAACAATAGTCTTCTCAATCTTTTATGTAAGCAAGTTTACAGTAAATACTATGGATTAGCCAAAAAAAAAATCCCCTTCCAAAGTTGTTTCATGCTCTCTAAAATATTCCCGATGTCCCCTAATGGGCCTACACTACTGCAAGAGCCGTATCGTCTCTTGCTCGCCTTAAGATCGCCCTCTGCAAGATGTCGAGCTGTGTGGATCTCATCGTTCGTCGTGCTCATCAACGATCGTGTTTGTCCAAATTTGGACCCATACAACTATAAATCCTATATATATATATTCGTCTCTGCAGGTATGCCCTTTGCAAATTCTTTATTGAATAAGACGGCGTGTCTTGGACCAGTAGGGTTGGTCCCATGTGCATTGGCAGGGAAGAAAATAAGTGAATGGCAAAAGGGGACTTTCTTTTACAATCAGCTGGTGACGAGAGCCACGGCTGCAAAAGTACTGCAAGAAGAATATTGTGGGGAGATTAGAGCAATGCTGTGGTATCAAGGGGAGAGTGATACCGTGAGAATGAGTGATGCTACTGCTTATAAAGGAAGAATGCAGAAATTCTTCACTGATTTGAGAAGTGATCTTGGATTACCTGACCTTTTGATTATCCAGGTAATACTTTAATTTGGTTAATCTCATCAATTCTTAATGAAAAATTGTAGTTACAAGCATGATGTTGGACCACGTTTGCATAAGGATTAAATTATGCAACTTGTGTTGGATCATGGATGTTTTAAGGCAGAATACATAGTTTGCCACCTAAGCTTGAGGCCAAATTCCTTTAATTATAAAATAAACGTTTTTAAAAAAGACAAATTAAAATTGATTGTTTAAACTGAGGACCTACACTAATAAAAAAGAAGAAATAAAAACTACGAAAACAGGTGTACCATGTGAAATACATGATGAACTAATGATCTTATGAGGCACCAACTTTCGAATTTTTATTTAGTTAACTTTATCAGTTGAAATTTAAAGCCATTTAAATCAAGAAAGAATAATGTACACACACACGCATGGAGCATTTATTTTGTACTATCATATTCTAAAGCTCAAATAATGGTGACTATAGTTTCGTTGACTTCTACAACTTTAATTTTAATTTTTTTTTATAAATAATCAAATCATGATACATTATTTAACTTCTCCTCAAACCTAAGTTGGATTTTTTTTTGAAAATTAAAGCGTATGCCATAAATAGAGTATGAAAGATTATTGCAATCTTTTTTCCTATTATTTTATCCTCACTTATTTTTCGATTTAACTAGAAAATTTGTAGCCCTGGGCACATTATGCTTGTATTTTTATACTCACTTAGTCTCCCCAAGAGCTAGGTGGGAAGTTCTTGGAGGGAAGGATACCAGGGGTCTATTTGGAAATAGCCTCTTTACTCCAAGGTAGGGGTAAGGTCTGCGTACACACTACACTCCCCAAACCCCACTAAGTGAGATTATACTGTATTGTTGTTGTTGTTAGTAACACATTTAATTTTCAAACTTGTGTGTAGGTGGCTCTAGCTTCAGGAGGAAAGCATTACACAGAGATAGTGAGAGAAGCACAGCTAAATCCTGACCTTCCAAATATAGTAACAGTTGATGCCAAGGGTTTGCAATTGCAAAAAGACAATTTACACCTTACTGCTTCTTCCCAAGTCCTCCTAGGCCAGATGATGGCTGATGCTTTCCTTCAGACAATTTCAACCACATCCTCATCTATTAATAGTCAATAGTGTAAAGAGTATTTCAATTATTTGAGAAATAAAAGAAAAAAAGAGTTAATTACCTGTGTAACATTCAGAAAAGAAAAAAAATCCAGAGGTCTCGGGTTCGAGCCCTGAGTATGGAAAAATCCTTGGTAGGGAGCACTTCCCTCCGAATGGGGCCCTAGGCAACGTGAATCCGGATATTGTCGGGCTCTCCAATGCGGGTACCGGACAACGGGGAAACCAAAAAAAAACATTCAGAAAAGAGTAATGTTTAATATGCTTTGCAATTAATCATACAAGCTAGCTACTTCAATGATGCATAGTCACATTTTAAATGTTCAATTAAAGAAAAGGAAAAAAATTAGTTTTCTCTATATTTTTGCAAAAACATAAAGGGTATGTGAGTAACATTTATTTTAGTTCAAGAGGGAGTCAAATTTTGGCATATAAAAGTGCAAACTCCTTAACTCGCTGCAGCAATTTGAGTTGATAGTTGAATTATGACACATTATTTGCTGCTCAAATTATCTTTGATTAGACTTTAATACTTATTGATTCAACTAATTTTTTTAACCAGCTTAAAGATGCCATCACCTATTTGAGACCTTAGGAGAGCCAATTTTAATTCATAAAGTTTTAATTAACCCAACCTGTCCAAGCTGTAGTTTGTTGGATTATGGTCTGTTTCTCAAGTGACCACTTTACCGATTTAACTCGTTCTAGCTTATCCAAACTTGATCCAACACACACATTTAACATTGCTAGTTTAACCCTTTAAACTTGTTATTACCTGCAGTCAATTAAATGAACATCTTAATTGTTTAAGTGATCAGAGAAGCACCTCTTCTTAGTTTTTTTATTTCCCATCCGGTGTCCGGTACCTGTATTGGAACCTAATTATATCCGGATTCGCGTCGCGTAAGGCCCCATTCGGGAGGAAACGCTCCCTACCAAGGATTTTTCTATACCCATTCAAGTCATCTGGTTAAAGGAAGAACAGTCTTATCCATTGCACCACATCCTTTGGTGGTACCTCTTCGTATCATAAGTTTGTCCCGTGCACCCAGAATTCGGCAGATTATACTGAGTTGGAATCGACCTGATGTGTCAAACGGACAAATTGATGAGTGTCACGACTCACGTGTAATTTTTTTTAAAAAAAAATGTATAACTAAAACTAAAATTACAGGAAAAACCCTCCTGTCCATCTTCTTCTCAACTATTTCTCCCCTGGGCTGCTGCTTCTTGTTGTTGTAATTGTTGAAATGTCAAAAATTTCAACGTCCCACATCGGTGGGTTAGCAAAAGTAGATAAGATTTTTCTCTATAAAAGGAGGCCTAATGTTTAGGATTTCGACACACCTCTCATTTGCCTTCTTATCTTCTTAAGGCATTTGTATCTTCTCTCTTTAGTATTA